AGAAATACAGTATTGTCTGCATTTTGATGTCTCCACAGAGAGTTTGATATGTAGCCCATGGTACTGAGTGGGACTCTTCCAGCTGACTTGAACAGCTTTGGAGCAGGCCTTAACTGGATCAAGAAGTTTTATGTAAAGCTGAGGAATCAACTAAGGACTTTGCCAAGCTCTGGTGAAGACAGAATTTTGCGTTCTGTTTTTCACTGGTCATGAAAGCTCTGAAGACAGGCAACAAGAATGCTGAAAGGATTAAAAGACATGTGGGGAACCCAAAAGAGCCAAATGCATGCAGTTCAAAAAGAAGAAAGCTTAAGAGATGCACAGCTACTCTGTAAATTCCTTCCAGAAACTGATGTATCCTTCTACAGTTTCTCTGGGAATAACCTCTTCTCAGCTTGTTAAAAATACAAAGTATATACAATGGGAATAATGTGATGTGTGTTCTAATGCAGAACCACTGTTCTTTTTATGAGAAAATTCCTTCCCCTCTTCCTTGTAATCTATTTCTCAGCTGGGTCACTTTCAACTCAGCTCAGAGCTTTGCAATTGAGTTCAGTAGGAGAGAAATAATTGCAAGTTATAAAGATTAGTTTCTTTAAACTCTGGGTATCAGAACTCCTGCAGTATAGAATGAAAAGAAGAATTTGTGTGAGTTGGAGAATAGTGAAACATCTTTACTTTTCTTTATCCCTGCCCATGATAAAAATAGAGCTGAAATCTTGGTCCCAATGAAGAGTAGGAGAGAATTCCCATTGAATTTAGTAGTATCAATTATTGAATTTTTCATTAACATTTATCATTTTTGCCCTCCAGCAGATCAACAATGGCAAAATAGTCAGCGTAATTCAATGCACATACAAAATATGCAAATAAAGCCCTTGGCATAACAAGCTCTTGCATAACATAAAAGCCACATAATTCATTTATATAATGCAGTAAGGGATAGGCAACATATGTGCATATATACATACATACAGACACCCCTTGTGGGTATCCAAAGCTACAGAATGTTCTTGGAGGGACAGAGCCTAAAGAAGTTTACCAATTCCTGTGTTAATGCATTATTACTTATTTCCATGACATATGTAAATATGCTCAAAAGTTCAGTATTTTTATTTGTCATAAAATACGCATTCTTACTTCCTCTATTCTTCTTATCTTCCTATTATGAGAGTAGATTGTTTAAATAACTATAAGTTGCAAGCTGTTCATCTCAGGTACCAGACACATGTATGTCTACCTATGCATATATAAATATATACCCACCTTGAAGAATTAGAAATATTTGAAAATCTTGATATTCTGTGACTGCTTTGAATTTTCTGTGTAAAGTCACAAGGAAAGAGCCCCTAGATGAGAGGTGTGCCAGATACCAGGGGCTTCAGTCTATTTGTAAAAAATACTGCACATGTTCTTTTTTTTTTTTTTTTAGGGAGGAAAATTAGCTATAACTTTTTGGGACCCCAATAAATATCACTATCAAAATAATGTGCCACTACATTTTTCTCTGTTTTCTCACAAGTGAGTATGCAATGAGTATATACACTCAAATATCCTGCTAACAGTCACTAGCCTATTTTCAAGTATAAAAATAGAAAGTATAGCTCCATTAATATAAAAATATCTCCCTAATTGCAAAGTCTAATATATTTATCTTGGATTTATTTCTCATGACAGAAGTCATTGAATTCTTGATGAAGACAGCCAGAACTCTGTTGGCAACATACTTATACTTCATAACTAAAATAAAAATGACAGTAACACTAAGTACAATTGAAAAAAAAAAACCCTCATCTTTTGCTATGTTCGTAATGTCTCACCAAACTGGTGTTTTACTATTCATTAAAGTCAGTTATCTGTGGGAAAGATATTTTACATACTTTAGAACAATATCTGAAAAAAGTCAGATATTTGTTACTAAACTTAACCATGATGTGAGTTCCAGAGCCGTCATTAAGGGCCTTTTAAATCTGAGTCATTCTGAGTAGTCCTTAAATTTTCCAAGATGCAATTTATGAGTTAATTTCTGTTTGCAATAATTTTCCTTAGGAGAAGTCACATTAGAAGGAGTCCAGTAAGAGCATCTATTCCATTTGTACTTTCCCAAGTTGTTCAACAACTTTGGAACAAGATGCTGAATTCTTTATAAATTTTCTCACTTGTAAAGAAACAGAAGCCCGTACATGGTTTTCTTAGAAACAAGCGGTGGCAAGTAGCCTTAATATCTGTTATAGGAGTGTTTAAAAGCTTCTACTGCTCAGGAAAGCCAGACTTCATCAAGGAAAGCACCACTGAGGAGTGCATCAGAGACACTAGAGGCGGGCTGTGAGAATGATGAGGCTTTGATAGTAGGTTGACTACAGAACTGCTTCTGACACAGCATTAACTCTTTTAACATTGACGTTTACCTAACCAAAAGAAAATAAAGCCTTAGACAGGCAAAGAGAAGCCCAGACAAGGCCTGAAAAATCCTGGGGCCAATGCTGTTAGCTTCACACAGAGTTGGTGGCTACACCATACCTAACTGGTTGCAGCCTGTGGCAACATTGGCTTGGTGTGGCAGCTCTTCACAACACAGTGCCCAGTCAACAGCATCTCACAGTTTTTAAGCAGGTTACCAGTGTTGGAGATGACCTTACACTGACCTTCAATTTAGTCTAAACCTTGCTTATTTTTGCCGCATTGATACAGTTTTCTTTAACATATGTTTAATGCTGTATTTCACAGGCACTGATCTTCAAGTATGAAATACTCTGTATAAAAATCTGAGCTGATATTCACGTAGAAAATTTATACACAGTATTAATCAGCCATTTTTCACCTACCTACAGGCCTGAATGCCAAGATTACCTCAGACTACAGGTTATATTTTCCTAATGTAGCTGTCATATTCAAATAGACATGTACAGATTGATTCCATTTTCAGGTTTTCTCAGTAGCATACATTGGTAAACTTTACATAATAATTACTTCTCAAATAAACAGTTGATGAAGACTGACATTCTTCACTCATGGTGTCATGGTTTGAGAGCCCTAAAATCCAATTCCCTAGTTCTAGCCCCCCTCCCACATCTCAACCCAGTGTGAGATGGGTTTTCCAGACACCACACGAGACTCAAAATGGGGGGAAGGGAATATATTACAAGACACTGTACAAATAAATATTATAATACATCATATACAATCTTAACTATCTCTACCATGACAAAACAGTATTTACAGTGGATCAAATCACTTCTCCCTTCCAAATAAAAGTCCAGGAGGGAAGAAGGGAAAGATCCTTTCCTCTCTCTGAGCAGCAAGTCTCTCCAGGGCAGCAGTGTCTCTTTCTCTCTTCCATGTAGCAGCTGTAGCTGGATCTTTGCCAATACACACGAGGGGAGTCCAAGCCCCTCGGCCCTTCGTCTCCAAATGAGGGTCTTCTCTTCCATGGGCTGCGTTCACCCAGACAAAGGTCGCTCCACCACGGTCATACCACGAAGCGCAGGGGGTCTTCGTGATGGTCTGTGTCTTCAGGGGATTCAAGTCCCTTGCAGAGCTTCTGTCTCTGATTTCAGGCTGCTAGCTAGCTTCTTAGCTTAGCAGCAGCGAGGGGGGAAGGTCAAGGTCACCCCGTCCACATTCCTTCGGCCGTCCCGGTCCAGCTTCCTGGGACACCTGAGCTTCTTAGCTCCTCTTTCAGCAGTGCTGTAGCACTCTGAGACTCTTCTCAAGCAAGAGTCCATCTCCCTCCTCCTAGGAGGGGTCTCAAAGGAGTTTGGGGGTTCTGGTTGAGTCCTTACCCCAAAACTCTCTCTCTCTCTCTTCAGACAACTCTGTGTCTCTCTGCGTAGCTGCGTGCTTGTTTGCTGCTTCTTCGGTTCTCATCTGTTGGCTCTCTGCCACCTTCCCTCGGTCAATGATGTTCTTGCTGCCGCTTCTGCTGCTCACGGTGGAGAAAACATTCCCCAGCTCATAGCTACAGGTACTTAGCCCAGCCTTACACTGTTCCAAGTCCCTGTAGCCCTCCAGCCGGGGCTGGGGGCTGTGGCCCCCAGAGGGGCTCCTGCCCCTGCTCCTCGTGGCTCTCACAACATGGTCACCTCACCAACAACTACTACAACTCCAACTACAACCCTTCTCTTCCGGTCTTAGTGATATGTTTATATTTTGCAGGAGCGTTCATTGGCTCGACCCCAAAGGGTCACCACCCCCTCGGGGGTTACCACTTTTCTTAGCTCCAGGGGGAAAAACTGTTTCCCCCCACCACACGTGAATATTCTGAACTCTTCAAGTGATGTTACCGAAGCCCAATATAGACACTATGCAGTGTGATAAAATTGTGAAGAATAGAGCTGTATGCATATTTACCTAAGTAACTGATCTACTGAAAGATTAACACTTATTTTGGAAAATAAAATGCCTAGATAAGCATTAGACTGTTGAAATGCGCTAACTAAAGTGAAATGCACCAGAGTGCTGCTTATGATCTCTTTCAACAGGAAATTTAGTAGCAACAGGTGACAGCAACATTTGTCCTTCTTGCTAATAAGCATTATATCCTGCCCTGAAATGTGTCTTTATAGCTACTCTGAACTGTAAGGGTCTGATAAAAGATTAGATATTGAGAAAAATTTCTTCACTGAAAGAGTGGTCAGGCATTTGAACAGACTGCCCAGGAAAGTCATGAAAAAGAAAAAGGTGGCATTACATCATCTCTGGAAGTGTTTAAAAATTGAGTGGATGTGTCTCTTGGGGATATGGTTTAGTGTAAATGCAGTGGTGCTGGGTTGACAGTTGACCCCATGATCTTAGAGGTCTTTTCCAACCTTAATGCTTCTATTATGATTCCATAACTTATAAGCTTGCCAGACCCACCAGTAGAATTCACTTATAAATCAGGAAATTAATTGAGAAGGTATATACAATACCACATTTTATTATTTATTGATTTCTAGTATCACTTCTAAACTAATAACACAGTTTATATTTTGATTGTGTGTTTATATTTCTCTTCACAGAAAAAGTCTGCAGACGTTTTAAGTTTTCAGCTTACAGAGGAGGAACCAAATCTGGCAGTTGAGGTAATGCAATGACCGTCTCCAGAAACACCGTCTGCCAACAACATCTGGTGGATTACCATCCTTATTCCCTGTCTTTCTAATATGACTCCTTCACAGTTCGAGTAGCAATGACTCTTAACAGCTTGACCCATCTGAAGGTACAGCAGAAAATGGTGCACCAGAGAATATATCGCCTCTTGCACTTCTTTCACAGTTTAATGAACAGATCTCCCACCATGTCGTTTTTGCATAGATTCCACAAGGGGTTTTGCATAGGTCTCTTCTTGATAAATGGAAAACTCTTTGTCTGAACTCATTAAAAGACGGGCTGAATATTTTTCTCTCTGATGAAAAAAATACCATTACAAAAAAGAAGGGAGGCAGCACAGAGAAAAAGGTATACACTATATTTTACTACATGTTTAAATTATTGATTACCCATAATGTGCCATGGTAGCTTCACAACAAAGGAAATTCAGTTGTAGGTATGAAAGTCAATAGCAGCACAAAACTTAAAACTTCCTCTAGTATTATAGTGATTTTCAACTGATTGCAGGACTGTTGAAGCAAGAGTCTTAAAGCTCTAACAGAAAAAACTTGAGGTAACTTGAGAGGGAATTTTGTGTAATAGAACTTGTCTCTATTTTTTATGATTCTCTAGCACCTCTGAAATGCTACTACTACGTTTTACTGGAAACCAAGGTTCATATCAAAATGTTAATTTCATTGTAAAATCAAGACATTATGCCAAAGGCATAATCATATGATCGCACTATCACATTTCCGGTTTTGGGTGGAGAACACCTGTTTGACTGAGACAGTCATATCAATCCAAGGTGCAGAACCTGTGTTAGTCCACGTGAGTGAAGTTTCAAATAAAGAGACTGTAATATTGGTTACATGGAAGGAGAAATATGGATACACTGATAAGAAGTAGATGGTGGAAGATGCTGTTGCTTCACCTCTGATAGTAGTATGAAACTACCTGTGAAGTGATTTGCAGTTATATGCTACGGACCACAGAAATTACAGGAGAGAAAATAATTTTAAATTATTATTATTTCTAGCCCATATATAAATACTATTTTCACATGGCATATGATTTTTGCCTTGCTTCTTCTTTCTTTCCCATCAATTTTCCTCCAGAAAACTATCAGAATAATAGTAGCAACAAATAGAATAAATAGTAAAGTAAAATAATTTTAAAACAAATAAACCAAACCAAACTCTTTCTAACAATAGAAATACTCTCAGACATGGCAAAATGTGCAAATCTAATTTGCTTCATAAAAGGAGCTGTTACTAGATGAGTGCTTCAATAGCTGACCCACAGTATGTCTTGACTAAATAGCTGTTTGAAGACACAAGTAGCTAGATGGAAGCAGTTGTCCTCAAGGTGGCCTAAATACTGCATGCTGTATTCATTAAGGACATCACTCAGAATGGTGTGTTAGGATTCATGGGGTTCTCTGCTCAATTTGATCATTTTTAGAAGAGCACAGACTAGATTCATCAAAGCAAGGAATAAAAGAGATTTTCCTTTTTACAACTTGGATGTGGAGCTATTTTAAATTAAACAGTGTTTTAATAAATTTAGTTTTAATTTCATTGATAGTTTTGCATTTTGTACTGGATAGGTGGATGACTGCTAAAGCAAGAATGATATGAAAAGCTATGTAGTAGTCTATGTATAATTTTCAAATTTATACTAGAATTTTTGTGCTATTGGTTCGTAGAAAATATTATTAATTTGTGACTGCCTTCATATAATAATAACAGGGCCTCTTAATACCAAGGTTTTTCCATACATGATGTGATTTGAATAAGACTGTAGACTACTGTTTGGGATTTTTAAATTAATAAAAGGACAAGATTACTGTAATTAGATCTCTTTCAGGATTCTGTCATCTCAGTTTATGAGGACCTATGATTGTCTAGGCCAAGGAACTAAAAATGTAAAAGAAAATCATAACTGTCAAAGTTTTAACAGGAATACAGTACAAAGAATGAAATTTGGAGTTGGAACATACTTGAAAATGCCAGAATCCAATAAAACCTGGGAGTGTCTGCACTGAAAAACAATCACTTGTCTTTTGCAACCCATTATCTGGGTGACATCTGGAGTTTATTATAAGAGATTATTTACTTGCATAGGGGAAAGCTTTTCTGTGAAAGTAAATTATAGCAGTTGAAAATGTTTTATTCAGCATTGATAGGCTGTTTTTATATGTATGGAATCACTATTACAGTTTCCTTTGGGATTTGTAGCTCACATGTGTCCTTCTACCGTTTTCTCTGGAGACTGATTTGCCAGCTAAGCTATTTTTTCTATGTACTTGGACTACAATGTGTTTGGGGAGTGGAAAAGGGAGGAGAGTGAGTAGCATGTAGTTTGGAGTTTCAGTGGGAACACTAAATTGGAGAGTACCATTCCTAAACCATGACAATAACACAGTCCATGAAGGAGGTTGGGGGCAGAACAACTGTTGTATGTTTTATACTTAGGAAACGTCTTGATTTTTCCCAATATGAATGAAAATTCCAGACACTGAAAATTCTACGCAGAAAGATGTCTTATTCTTCTCCTCCAAAACATCATCAAAAGTGATGGTTTTTTAAAACCTTATCAGAAAAAAAGATATAAAATTATCTTCTTTTTTGGCAACTCTAAAAGTAACATCAGGACTGAATCTTCTTAAACCTGAGATGGAGAATCAAGTTAGAGTATTACTGTTACAGGCACAGAACACTAAAAATAAAGAATAACAAGGAAGTATTAAAATTTTCTTCAAACTGCTTCTTACCATGGTATAATTAGACATATATTTACTAATTGCTGACTATTCCCAAGCTTACTAGGGCTTAAATTACCATCTGATACGTCAGTAATGTTGACTCCACATTAAAATCAATTAACAGACATCTAATCTACAGACTTTTCAGGCAAGTGCAAAAAGTATAAAGAAGCAGCAATTGACTATAAATGCATTCAGACCATCGTTACAATTGAAGATATTTGTCTATCAGCTGACATGAACTTTGAAAGGCATGCTCACCCACATGCTTCACTGCCTTTGAACACATGTAAATTATTCTATTCCAACTACCAGTTAAGTACACTTGTGCACAGAGAAGTCTGTAAGAATAAATGTCTTCCAGCATTTTAAAGAGAAAATGGCAGGTCTTGTCCATCACAGGACAACAATCCTGATTGTTTATCTAATTGAGATAGAGCATTAAAAGAAAGATGGGAGAGCAAGATACAACTTTACTTAAGATGTCTCAGTACTGTATCTACTTTTTTCCAAAAGCAAGGCTGAATCAACAACGAGAGCTAGGCATGTAAATGACATCAGCATCTTCATTCAATGCTTGCATGTTCAAAAGAATATATGAAAGGCTATCAGAGGAGATTGCCTTTTAGATTGCTATTCTTTAACAGAGATCACAGATGAGTGCCTGTGGAAAAGTACATGAAACAGTGTATTTATGTATCCAGGAACAAGACATGAGGGTGGGTGAGAAAGACAAGAAAGTAAACACAAAATAAATGTCATCAACTATTTTGTCTTTTGATAAACTAAAAGTGAGTGGAGGTTTTTCTTCTCTGGTAAACGTGATAGTTATGGTACACATTATTTTTTCAACCTACTCAGACAACTGATGGTCTGATGTCAAAACCTTGTTTTGGGGATGCTACTTTAAAGGTCAGAAACAGGGAAAATATGAAATTTATCATAAATATCTTTACAATATAGAGCCTTTAATGGAAAGCTATTTTCTTCAGTCTTTAGCTGACACTACAGGTACTGAATTAGTCTACGTAATGTTCTGAACCTTGGGTTTTAGTACTCAAAAATCATTCATTCTGGCCTATCCTGGTCGTTTTCTACTTTTGAGTCTTTGAATCATACCTTGAACATTAGTTTAACCAAAAGGGTTTTTGATCAATATGTATATACAAGGCACACAGTTCACTGCACTCTTAAAGTTCATCATTTTACTGCCAAATAAACTTTATTTTAAAATTTGGCTTATTGCTCTTTGGATCTAGGTTTTGAATTAAGCACAGGTTTTATGGTTGCAACCTTTTAAAGGGATAAACGTGCGCTCATATTCCCTTCCTCAAAATTTCTGTTGTTTTTCTTTCTTACATCAAGAAAAATTGCCTTCTATACAGAGTTTGGCTGGCACAACTTCCTTAGTGTCTATAGTATTGCATAGCAGGACAAGGGCTCATTTACATAGATGAAGCTAAATTTCCCTTCTTTGTTTGCTTTCAAATCCGGTGGGAGCTATGTCCACACTCCTGATGACACTTATTTAGTTATTAAACATTAAAGAAAAGAGTTGTGGGAAAATCAACAAACACTTTATGAAATTACGAGGCTTTTCAGAGAATTCATAGTAGACATTTTCAACAATTGAGACATATTGGAGAAATTATTCTTCGGAGGCCATGGACGATTTACAGCTGGAGCATAAAGGGAGAAGGTGAAAACTATTCTGTTCATCTCAGTCTCCGCCCAGCCAGGAATTGCCATATTTTCTTCAAATACCTGTGTAGTTCATCCGTACCTTTTTGCTGATCACTCCACACCAATGTTCAATGGAAGGAGGCAGTATTAACGAGAAAGAGCTTGGAGCAAATATTTGCTGGCTGCAAGGTGATGACAATGCACAGGTATCAGTGAGTTTTGGTAAGTGCATTTACAGAATATGTTTCACAACTTCCTTAGGTATCACAGTGAGGAATAGATTCCTCAGGCAGGTGAGGACAGAAGAGTCAGAATATCCTGAGTTAGAAGGGACCCACTAGAATCATCAAGTCCAACTCCTAGCTCTGCATGTGTAATGACAGCAAGATAGAATACAGACTTTGTTTCTAGAGGAAGCAAAGGATCAGTCTCATATAACATAAATACGCCAAATTCACCACAAATCCACTGACCCCAATCACCCTTTTAATGGTCGATTAGTTAGCATGTTTAATAACTTTATTCTTATTCTTTTAATGGAACCTTAATAATTAATTTTCTAATGGTCTGTTATTAATGTAAGTTCTATATAATAGCTAAATCCTTCTCCCATAGCTTGAATTGGTTTATGCTTTCTTTTATGATGCTCTCTTAATTAAAATATTGCCAGATGCTTTCTGACTTACCTTCTGGATTTTCTCCACAGCCTGAAGTCTTTAGGTTATTGA